ATTTTTTTTGTTATAGTTTGGAATCTTTATTTTTTTTCCTTAAAATCATCTATTAACTTTTAAATTTATTCTAATTTCATCTAGTTCAACACAACTTTGTTAATTGAATTGATGAAATTCTAGCTTTCAATTGTATAACCTCACATAAGTTATCACGTAAGTTGTTATATAACCTAATAAAAAACTATAGAAAATTTCCCTCCATATTTAGGCCACATAGCAACTTATATACGTGGAGACTTAATTATGTGATGTCACATAATTAAAAATCTAGAATTTTGTTAATTCAATTAATTGAGTAGTGTTGAACTAAATAAAATTAAAACCAATTTGAAAGTTAATAAATGATTTTGAAAGAAAATATAAATTTTAAACTAAAACGTAAAAAGGTCAATAGTTAATAGACCATCTATTTATTAAATGAAGCCCTTCTATTGGATGAAGTTTTCTTGGTGCGTCTTGGATGAGTTCTTATATGAAGACAAACTACTCTTCTTCTTCTTTGATCCCTCTTTTTTAAGGAATTCCGAAAGCCATTAGGCATGGATGAGAGACTCCTTCTAGAAACAAGAGGTAGTTTGACCGTGAGAGTTTGGGAGGAATCAAAGAAGATATGGAGGGTCGGCTTTCCTGCCATGTTATCTCGAGTGTCATCCTTCGGAATGCTCGTTGTTACACAAGCATTTATGGGACATTTTAGTGAGGTTGAGCTTGCAGCTTATTCCCTCGTACAGATAATCATTATCCGCTTCGCAAATGGAATACTGGTAATAGATTGTTCATATTCTGTCTTGCTTTACACTTGTTGGAAATATTATTAGAAATGTGGCATTCAAACCTGCAAAAATGATGAAATGAAACTGCCATGAAATGGCAGCAATGAGGCTCAAATTTGACAGCAAATGAAGCTGCAATTTGACAGCAAATATGGCAGCAATTTAGCTGCAAATATGATGGAAATGAGGCTCAAAATTGACAGCAAATGAAGCTGCAATTTGACAGCAAATATGGCAGCAATTTAGCTGCAAATATGATGGAAATGAAGCTTTCAAATGGCAGCAAAAATGTGCAGCCAGCTAAGCTGCAAATGTTGATGAAATGAGGCTGCAATGAACAGAAAAAGAAATGCAAATGCAAAAGGAATGCAAATGCAAATGCAAAAGGAATGCAAATGCAAATGAAATGAAATGAAAGGCTGCAAAGTGGCCGCGGAGTCACAGCAAGCATAGCGGGAAATTGGTTGTCTTTTTACTGTTTTAGATGTACTTGTATTGTTGCTTTTTATGTAGAATAACTGCTTAGAAAAAATATAAAACTTCTTGAATTTTGAATTGTTTTAAAGTTTGTATTCTGCTATATAAAGCAATATTGTTAATGAGAAAATCTGAGTTGAGTGTTATACTCCTCTCCATTTTCGTTTGTGTTCTTCCTGATTTTCTCTCCGTTTCTTTGTAAAAAACTCAACAACACTTAAAAAAACTAAGCGCTTCTTAGAAAATTGTGTTTAGTCCAGGTTCTACTATGTAGCAGGGAAACTGTTTTAGGACAGTTTAATTAGAATAAATGCTGATTTCTACTTCTGTTTCTTCATCTTCATGTTGCAGTTGGGAATGTCTAGTGCAACAGAGACTCTATGCGGGCAGGCGTTTGGGGCAAAGCAATACCACGTGCTAGGAATTTACCTGCAAAGATCATGGATTATCAATCTATGTGCAGCAACCATACTCCTACCAATATTCACCTTCGCGGCGCCAATCTTCAAGTTACTTGGAGAGGAAGAAGAAATGGTAAGCAATGTAGGGTATATCTCCCTATGGTTCATACCAATTCTATACTCTTTTGTCTTCAGCTGGACTATCCAGAAGTACTTGCAGACACAACTTAGGAATAGCATCATCGGATGGCTGTCTGCAGCATCATTTGTGCTTCATGTTTTCTTGTCCTGGATTTTTGTCATCAAAATGAATTGGGGGATTCCTGGTGCAATGAGTTCATTGATCATTGCAACTTGGTTGGTGATAATTGGAGAGTTTGTGTACATCTTTTGGGGTTGGTGTCCCAATACCTGGAAAGGGTTCACTATAGCATGTTTTTCTAATTTGCTTCCCATGGTAAAGATCTCAATCTCCTCAGGAGTGATGCTCTGGTGAGTTCTTCTTTTTTCTTTTTTTTTTCAATACATCTGAAGTTAACTACTTGGCAATTTCCGAGGTGATTTGAATCTCGCACCCTAACCTCAACAGCTTGCAGTTGTGGTACAATGCAATTCTAGTCCTCCTGGCAGGATACATGAAAAATGCCACAGTTGCCATATCTGCCTTCTCTGTCTGGTACAATTCTTAACATTTTTACAAATCACAGTATAAATTCTCAATACATATTGAGAAACAATAGATGATGATATACTTCAAAAAATTAACGACATTGCATTGCAGCCTCAATATCAATGCTTGGGAATTCATGTTATGCCTTGGCTTGCTTGATGCATCCAGGTATGAATTCATCAATCACTTCAATTTCATCCATTGAATTCTTTCAAACTTCTCCATTACAAAATTTTGTTTGAACAGCGTTCGGGTTTCGAATGAATTGGGGAGAGGAGATGTCGCAGCTCTAAAGTTTGCTATCAAAGTCATAGTATGTACTTCAATTTGTATTGGAGTGTTCTTCTGTGCTCCATGTTTGATATTTGGATATCAACTTGGTCACTTGTTTACAAGTGATGAAGAAGTAGCAGAATATGTGTCACAACTCTCTTTCCTGCTTTCCTTCTCAGTTCTGCTCAACAGTACTCAGTCAGTGCTCTCAGGCGAGTATATTTGAAAATTTGCATCTAGCCCAGGTTGATTTCAGCCTCTACTAAAGTTAAAAGTACTGCAGGGGTGGCTGTAGGGGCTGGCAGGCAAGCTCTTGTAGCCTATATCAACATTGTTTCCTATTACGTCATTGGGGTGCCACTAGGAGCAGTTCTTCGATATGTTGCTAATTTGGAAGTGAAGGTTAGATAACATCCATCTTGCAAAGAAATTAGGTTAGAGATTAACATGCAAGTAAATGAACACATGATTCAATAAATTTTGCAGATTTATCTTGTTTTTTCAAAATTTTCATGTACATATTTGATAATCCACTTTTCTCAAATTCATGCCCAACTTAATTGTCTCAACATTTAAACTCTAATTTGAAGTCTCAAACTATTACCAGTTGAGACACCATAGAGACTCCAAATTTTCTTTACAATAACAAATTTCCTTGATTTGATAGGGTATTTGGATCGGGATGACAATTGGGGTTGCAATTCAGTCAATAATACTTGGCTACATTACAGCAAAAACAAATTGGGAGGAACAGGTAATTTAAGAAATAGCATATTAAGTGATTTTATTTTTATCTTTCCTAATTATATTCAAATTACATGTTATTTCCATGAAAAATTTATGATTTTCATTTGCAGGTAAACAAAGCATCAGAACGGTTGAATAAGTGGCTCTTGAGGCCTACAAGTGATTCTGAAGGAAACCCAGATCAAGAAAGAATAGATGGATAAACAACAATAGAGGAAAAATGTGTATGCAGGAAAAGAATAGAAAAATCACATTTATGCTTTATAAATTGCGGATGGTCACCTCCTCAGCATACTTATGCTGGTAAATCTTTAACAGTAGAGATGTCTTCAAGTGCAAGCTCGTGCTCTAACTCTGTTCTTGTAGACTTGAGAACATCCTGGAAAAATGTGAAGACGTATAACGTCATAACTTAAGTTTTGATTAGGAAATAAACACAGGGAATGAACATGATAACTTATTGTCCTTTACATTGAATTCCATATATGAAGCCCGTTTTGTAAGCCATTGAGCATCCATCATCTGAAATGCTACACAGTATAAGTGGTCAAATGTGAGAGGATCTTCCTTGATTAGTTCTAGAAACCGGATTCCTGCATCAGAAGATGGCCTTCCTGCAGGTAAAATATAACTATGGCATTGGAACTTAACAAGAAGTCAATGACCAAAGAATATAATACGTGAAACAGTCAGACCAATTAATATGACATCTCTTTCCGGTTCCGGTTAATAATGAGATAATACCAGCAATACAGCTGAGCCTATTCTAGTCATGAGAGTAACAATAATGTATGCAACATTAAATGTCAAATTAAACCACTTAGAAACTTTCATACCCGATTGAAGATCCAACATCTGAACCAGCATAAAAGAAATGTTGATACCAGCTACTGCAAATGGATACTCCCACTCAGCTCTGTTTCCATCTTTCTTGTGCAACAATCTGTGAAATGATTCCTGTCAAGTGCAAACCAGCAAATGGTTTGATGAATCCACACATAAGGCTTAAAAACACTTGTACATCATGAGTTACAGTTAAGCCTCGACAATCCACATGAATATAAAGATTTTCTTTTTTTTGCCTCTGAGCTATCTCTTGTTTAAAAGTTATAACTTAAATGCTTGACAGGTTAGAATCTACAGCTCGTTTTGGTTCTTTTTATTGAAAATCCTGCATGTGGGCTCAACACAAGACTTGCATCCAACCTAAAACCAATTGGCAATAGGTGGAGTAGCCCTCCTTATATGTAACCCACAAGCTTCTTATTTTTATACTCGATGTGGGATTTTCCCACTTAACACGTCCCCTCACGTGCAGACTCGCTATGAATGTCGGGTCCTGTCACGTGGGTTAACACGCCCCCTTAAATGCAGGCCCGGTATCAACTTCGGGTCCTATCAGATGGGCTAACAACAGGCTTCCCATGGTAAAACCTGGGCTCTGATACCATATTGAAAATCCTGCATGTGGGCTCAACACAAGGCTTGCATCCAACCTAAAATCAATTGGCAATAGGTGGAGTAGCCCTCCTTATATTTAACCCACAAGCTTCTTATTTTTATACTCGATGTGGGATTTTTCCACTTAACACTTTTAGGGTTTCTAGACTGTTCTTGGCTTCTTTGATATTGAATTTCGTTTCCTTGGTCTTCAGGTACTGGTTCTCGTTGATTTTCTTCTGTGGGAGCAAGCATAGGACTGTTATTATTTTCTGTTGTCCTTATTGTCCCATTGCCTTGACTCTGTTGTGATGTCTCATCCTCATTAACTGATGGAATTGCACTAATTTTGTCAATGGCGAGTTGAGAGTGCTCCTCCTCACTTGTAAGATCTGTGAATTGTTGAGGTAGTGTTGAAATTGAAGGCACGTCATCTATATCCTTGGATGGCTGTAAATGTGAAACAGCTTGGAGCCATCCATCAGAATCCGGGTATTTGCAAAGTTCCCCATCTGTATCAACATTCTTAGAAATGTTTGTTAGATCTGTATAAGGTAAAAAAATGCTCATCAAATGCAACATGCCTAGAGATATAAACACGTTGAGTAGAAGGATGTAGGCATTTATATCCTTTGTGGATTGGACTATATGCAATGAATACACATGGAAGTGACCTTGGCTGGAGTTTATTAGCTGCATAGTTGCGAAGATAAGGAAAACACCGGCAACCAAACACCTTTAACATAGAGTAATTTGGAGATTTATCAAAAAGTAAGTGAAATGAACTTCTATTATTTAACAAAGGAGTAGGCAGCCTGTTAATGAGATAAGTTGCAGTAGAGAAACTCTCAACCCAATACCTTAGTGGCATGTTTGCATGAAAAAGCATAGTCAAACCTGTCTCAGTGATATGCCTGTGTTTCCTTTCTGCAACTCCATTTTGTTCTGGAGTTCCAGGGCATGAAACTTGCTGTTGAATGCCACACTCTGCCAAGTAATTGAGGAATGCTGTGCTAGAAAATTCTCCCCCGCCATCACATTGAAATATCTTGATGATCCTTTGAAATTGATTCATAATCATCTTCTGAAATTTTTGGAAGATGTTGAAGAATTCAGACTTCTTATGTAGAGGATAGAACCATGTGTACCTGCTATAGTCATCCACAAAGATTACATAATACAGAAAATGATGAGTCGATTGAACAGGAGAGGGCCCCCAAAGATCACAATGTATTTTATGAAAAGGGAATTTCGCTCTTTCATTATTTCTTGTGAATGGCAATTTACAACTCTTCCCCATTTGGCAACTTGTGCATAAGTGGGGAGGTGTAGTCCATCTTGACACTATAATGTTCTTCTTTGAAGATAGATTCTTTAAAATGTGGGAATTGTGGTGTCCGAGGCGTTGATGCCATATGGTGTCAGCAGCCTTATTAGTCATAGTTGCAAGAGCATATTTTTCCCCTTCATCTAAGGCCTAGAGTTGGCCTTTTCTAGTGCCTTTGGCCAGTACTGCCTGTGTTATTTGATCCTTAACCACAAAACCAGAAGATGAGAACTCAAATATACATGGATTTTCTTCAGTAAACTTGCTAATGGAAATAAGATTCTTTTTAAGATTGGGAACAACTAAGACATTATTAAATTTTAATGGACCAACAGACGTGGATCCAATGTGAGTGATGTGCAAAGGTGTTCCATCACCTGTATAAACCTTTTGCTTCCCATTATAAGGCCTTTTAAAAATAAGATTACCTATCCCTGAGGTCATATGATCACTGGCTCCGGTGTCGGCATAGAAGGTTTGATCCTTGTCATCTTCCAGAGTAATTGTTGCAAGTGCTTGAGGTAATTCTTCACTTTGGTAAGCATGATCAAACCTATACCAGCATTTCAAAGCAGTATGACCATTAATTCCACAAATTTGACAAGTTTTCTCACCTTGTGATGTCACGGTCTTTGGTTGAAATTTCTTCTGTAACATGCTTTGTTGTGGTGCAGGATTGCTGTTAACTAAAGGGGTTTTGGTGTTACTGGACTAGTTATAATTTCCAGCTTGGACAAAACCTCTCCCCCTAGAATTGAACTACTTGCCACCATAGCCTCGACCTCTCTGACCTCTTCCTCTTTGGGCCATAAACACGTGTGTATATGTAGATACTTGTGATTTATGTTCTTGTTCCTGAACCTGAAGATCTCGTTCATTGTTTAGTAAGCTTGCAGTGTATTGATTGAAGGTAGGATATGGTGCTTTTGAGAGAAAAGCAATGTTGTAAGGCTGATAACGAGTTCCCACAACTCTGGAGAGTTGAAAGACTTTATCAAGGTCAGCAACAAGTTTGCGAATAACAGCTAGATTATCACATGTCCTTTTAAACTTTCTGATGAAATCATCAAGTGATTCACCATCTCCTCGCTTGGTAGCCAGTTGTCCCTTGAGATGCAATTCACTTTCTTTTGAAGACGCCAGATAATGCTCTTCAAGGCACCTCCAAATTTGTAGAGCTGATTCACAGCCAACGACCAAACTAAGTGATTCTTCATTCATGGTTCCAAGTATCCAACTAGTAAGCAATCCATCATTACTTAACCAAACATCATATTCTGGATTACCCATTTCATTGCCGTCCTTGATGATAGTCTGCACTGGTGCTTCTTCTTCCAAATGATGGAGAAGCTGAGCATTTCGAATCAGTGGGTAAGCTTGAGATTTCCACAGCAAGAAATTGGTACTTGATAATTTGATAGATACCAAACTTGCCATTTGATGGAAATTTTGGATAGTGAGAGTGCTTTTGTTCTTGGCCATGAAAAACTGTTGGATAATCGAAAAAAAATATTGAGAAAGCAAGGTTCAAATAGGATATTCAGATGCAGTGAGCAACCTGCTTTGATACCATGAAGAATTTAATGGAATAAAGATTTTGGGAGAATACTAATTCTATATTCAGTTGTGTAATATTCTGTACAAGCATATACCAATATATACACTTATAAGAGCTAATCTAGATGCTGAAATTGAGGTACAGTTAAGGAAACTACAGATTGCTTTACTAATATAATTTGACCGTTGCTATCAGAGATGTTGCTTCTGTCTCTCCTCAATTTCTGCTGTGTGAATGATTTCTTGTGTGTTTTCATTATCTCTGGTCTCACGCCTTGATTGATTCCATACTTGTGCCTTCATACTTTTCTAGGCTATTGACTCTACAGGTTGCTCAATCTGATTCTGTCTGTTAAGTAAGTTTTATGTTTTACCTAACATCCATTGTTTTTCATAGGCTTGTGTGGCAAAGTAGGGACTCAGTTAAATGCATAATAGCAGATCACAAAGGATAAATTTTTTAACTTGTGAACCATGTTATAAAAAGCAAGTGAACAAACCGGATACTCCTTAGCAAAAAATATGAGAATCTCCAATGATATAAATCCTCCACCCCTTCAAATAGAATTTAAATGAGAAATGAGTGAATGTTTGGAAGATAAGCAAGCAAAGAGAACCAGATTCAGGTAACTGCTTCACATACCGAAAATCTGTTGAAGGATCTGAAC